ACACACACACACACACACACACACACACACACACACACACACACACAACTTTCCTGTGGCTACTGCTAGATTTAATGAAGTCCAGAGAGGTAAGACTTAGCTGAGGAAAACTGCTTCCCTGAACAATATCAAGTTTTATTACCTAGCAAACAAGTGGGAGGGATAACTATTAGGTAGGCAATTGGCAATGTCTTCTAGAGAAAGCCTGCATTAGATAGTTGACAGCTTAATGAAGAGTGTTGGTGTGACAAAAGAAACTGAGGAAGGGTGGGTATTTCAGGGACTCTGGGAAAGGCCAGAAAAAGGAAAAATCAGTTATTCAACTCAGTGGGCCAAACCCAAGAAGGCATGTTTAATCACGAATTCCAAAGGGAACTTTGATAAGAATTAAAATCAGTCACAGTTCTGCTTCCAGTCAACATGGATTAACAGGGACTAGATTTACTTTCTCACCTGAAACAACCCCCCTCAAAAAATTAAAAAAAAAAAAAGAAAAGAAGTAAAAGGAACGAAAAGAACAAAGAAAGTAAACCGTATCAGACATATGAAGTAATGACTTTAAAGAGAAGTATCTTGCCTCAGCAGTGGAAAATAGCCCAAATTAGCCCAAGACTGACCACTGTTCTAGTCCTGCCTAATAAATATTAAAAGCAAAATCTGATAGAATAAAACTTTTCCAAGTCATTTAACTATGCCCCATAACAAAACTCAAGAATACTTACAGAAATAGAAAGATATTCAGAATCCAACAAGGCATAATTTACAATGACTGGCATCTAATCAAAAATTAACAGGCATATAAAGAAGCAGAAAAATATGACCCACGGTGAGGAGAATAATTAAATAATCGAAACTGATCCAGCACTGGCCTAGATGTTAGAATTAACATGCAAGTACATTAAAATAGTTATTATCACTGTATTCAAGATATCAAAACTTTGAATAGATACATGGGACACAGTAAAAAGACACAGACATTCGAGATGAAAACTACAATGCATGAGATTTTAAAAACAGTAGATAGAATTAATGGGAGATTAAATGTGATAGAAGAAAAGACTTGAAGACATAGCAAGAGAAACTATCAAAAATGAAATTAAAAGAGAAAAGATCATTTAAAAATTTTAGCAGAAGCCAGGCGCGGTGGCTCACACCTGTAATCCCAGCACTGTGGGAGGCTGAGGTGGGCGGATCACGAGGTCAGGAGATTGAGATCATCTTGCTAACACGGTAAAATCTGTATCTACTAAAAATACACACACACACGAAAAAAAAAGAGAAAAGAAAAGAAAAAGAAAAAATAGTTGGGCGTGGTGGTGGGCGCCTGTAATTGCAGCACTTTGGGAGGCCGAGGTGGGCAGATCACAAGGTCAGGAGATTGAGATCATCCTGGCTAATACAGTGAAACCCCATCTCTACTAAAAATACAAAAAAATTAGCCAGGCATGGTGGTGGGCACCTGTAGTCCCAGCTACTCAGGAGGCTGAGGCAGGAGAATGGCATGAACCCAGGAGGCGGAGCTTGCAGTGAGTCAAGATCGAGCCGCTGCACTCCAACCTGGGCAACAGAGCAAGACTCCATCTCAAAAAAAAAAAAAAAAAAAAATTAGCAGAACGTTAATAAGCTCTAAATGAAGGGATGAATTCAAACAGGCAAATACATGCTTAATTAGATTCCCCAAATGAGGGGACAGAGGAGACAATATTTGAACAAGAGTTGCCAGAGCCAAAATTTCAGAGCTAGTTTAGATAGGAAATTGTAGTGAAAGCAAATTAGAATAAGCAAGGGTAGGTGACATCACTTCAATTTTTCACATCTGTGGGCCAGCAAGTGTATGTTTTCCAGATCAATGAGCCCACTTAAACAGTCAGAAGCAGGGCATGAAAACACAGCACTAAGCTCTCCTTTTCTTTTCAAGAAGAGTTTGTGCATATCTGCTCCCATAAAATGGAACACCCTCCTCTAGACCATCTCATTCTTCAGAAACAGGACACTTTCATGCAGAGCTTGGGTCACTCACTGACCCTTCCTTGCCTTGTCTTTGTGATTCTCTGTGAGTTACACTAAGAAGAACAGGCAATGGTCAGTGTTTCTTTGTCCTCTCCTTGTTTTTCTTGCTATAACACTAGCTGACCCGTATCAGATATTCTGTGTAAGGAATATCTTAGATTACTGTGACTTTTGCTTATCTGTGGCTGTGTTCTCTAAGGCTGTTGTGTTACTCAGGGTGGGCTAGGCTTTGGTGCGGTTAAGCAAAAACCCTAAATTCCAGTGGATTGACACATGAAAGCTGATTTCTTGCGCACTCAAAGTCCATTGCAGGTCAGGTAGCTCACTGGGGCAGTCCCTTTCAAGTTTGCTCAGGGATCTGATCTGCTTTCTTCCTGTGGTCGCCTCAATTGATGCGTTCCAGGGTTGTCACTGCGGGGGAAGCAGAGAGGGCGAGTTGTGCAGAGACTTTTTCCACTTCACCTTGGAAGGAACACACACTCATCTACTTTCTAGCATTTGTCAACGCTTATATTCCCATGAGGAAAAAGGGGAGAATCGGATCTAGAAAAACATGAATAATTTAAAAGAACGGTGTTTCCTAAATTATGTACATAGATTGCAAGTTTGTGTGGATGTTAATAAATTAGCATTTTAAAACATTTAAAAAATGTTATACAATGTAGCAAGAACTTGTGATGGCCACACCGCGTACCTTCAGTCCTCCCTATTTCAGCACTGCCGTGGCTGACAGTTCCATGCTCCATTGCCAGCCCCCTATTAAGGGTGTGTTGCGTTTTCTCTCCATCAGCTGATCAACTTAGACCTACACAGAAAAACAAATAATAAGTGATGTGAGTCCGTGGATAAATGCCTCAGCCTTTCTATCCTCCAAAAGGACAATTCTGTGATGCATTCTAGATGCGTCTTTAGGGTTCCAGCAAGACTGAAGCCCAGTTGTCCACAGCAGTAACTGATTCATTAATACACTTTGATTGGCTGTCCTCCTATCCTGCCTCACTTTTCCCACTTCCTCACTTCTCTTTCCTGAAATCTTCTCTCAGTGAACTAACTGTGCTGAAGTCCTTGTCTTAGGGTCTCATTTTCGGGGCAAGAAAGCTAAGATTTATGGTGTTTTCTTGCCCCTGAAATGAGATCTTAACACAAGGACTTTAGCACAGTTCAACGCGTGGTGAAATAAATGTGGAAGATATTGGGTTAACTGTGTTTGGTTAATATGTTTTCTTTGTTACAGAATTTTCAGAGCCTTTAATGTACGACTCTCTGATATGCTTTGGCTGTGACCCCACCCAAATATCACCCTGAATTGTAATAATCCCCATGTGTCAAGGATGGGGCCAGATGGAGACAATTGAATAATGGTGGCGGTTTCCCTCATATAGTTCTGGTGATAGTGAATAAGTCTCAAGAGATCTGATGGTTTTATGAAGGGCAGTTCCTCTGCACAAGCTCTCTTACCTGCTGCCATGTAAGACGTGTCTTTGCTTCTCCTTTGCCTTCCACCATGATTATGGGGCCTCTCCAGCCATGTAGAACTGTGAGTCCATTAAATCTCTTTCCTTTATAAACTACCCAGTCTCGGGTATGTCTTCATTAGCAGCAAGAGAACAGACTAACACACTCCTCGTACATTAAATTCTATAGATAGTAAATTCAAAAGAAGAATACCAAAATTAGAGTTTCTCTATCTTGGATTGTTGACTTTTATTCCCCAAAGCAACTTTCAGAATTAACACCTCATAACACACATATGAGGTATGCCTAATCTAAAGATTTTATAACTTTTCTGATTTTTTTTCAAATCTCCTATTCTGAGAAGCAACTTTTCTTATTTTTGAATAAATAAAAATATTAAAAAATTTTAAAGGTGTAGAAGAGTAAGTAGGGGAAAGAAAAGGTTTTAAAAATGCATAAAAATATAAGCACCTCATTTGGTTCCATCAAGAAGAGAGAACTGGCTACAATATTCGTGCCTAGCCCCAAGAAGGAGATGTTCAGTAGCAGATTCCAAGAGGTGACAATAAGTGGCCAAACATTTCCTGAGAAACTTCATACAGCTTCTACTGGAGGATGGTACCATGTACTCTTTAGTTGAAAAGAGCAAACTTCCCACCCATCCCTCCCCTTAATTACTGTGCTGAATGGTGAAATTAAACCCGGCAGGTAGATACCTCCTATATCGATTTCTGAAGTTATCTCATACTCTGGTTAATTGTGTCAGCCTGTAGAGGCTGATTAGCATAATTAATCTTACCCTGTGATTACCCCAAGGAGGAAGATGTTCTGGATGCACAGGTGGGATGTGGTGAATGAGTGACTGCCTCTGTCTCCAAGGGGCAAAGAAGCATGGGTGGGAGAAGGTTTGAGAACAAGAGACAGAGTCATTTAGGTGAACATAGAACTGGATTTTACAGGACAGAAGAAGATGAGATGATAGGCAATCTGTACAGGTTGAGGTTCAAAGGCCAGGGTGTGCCCACCCCACATATCTTTATGTATTTGCAGAGTTCCATTTCTTTCTCTTTCTCTTTCTCTCTCTCTCTTTCTCTTTTTTCTCTTTCTCTCTTTCTTTCTCTCTCTCTCTTTCTTCCTTTCTTTCTTTTCTTTCTTTCTTCTTTCTTCTTTCTCTCTCTGTGTCTCTCTCTCTCTTTCTTTCTTTCTCTCTTTCTCTCTCTCTCTCTTTCTCACCTTACCTTACTTTCCTCTTTTTTTTTTTTCTTGGCAGAGTCTTGCTCTGTTGCCCAGGTTGGAGTGCAGTGGCATGATCTCAGCTCACTGCAACGTCCACCTCCAGGTTTCAAGCTATTCTCCTGCCTCAGCTTCCTGAATAGCTGGGATTACAGACACCCACCATCACACCTGGCTAATTTTTATATTTTTAATAGAGATGGGATTTCACCATGTTAGTCAGGCTGGTCTCGAACTCATGAGCACAAGTGATCCACCCGCATCAGCCCCCCAAAGTGCTGGGAGCCCCCCAAAGTAAGCCACAGTGCCTGGCCTCTTTTTTGTTGTTGTTGTTTTGTGTATATAAAACACATATATAGTTTTATATACACACATATAAAAAGCAATATTATATATTATATAACAAAAAATAATACATACATATATATATATATGTATTTTTTTTTTGTAGAGACAGGGTCTCACTATATTTCCCAGGCTGGTCTCAATTTCCTGACCTCAAGCAATCCTCCCACCTCTGCCTCCCAAAGTGTCGAGATTGCAGGTGTGAGCCATACACCTGGACTCTTACTTCTGGTAGGGCTTCTTTGAGAATCAGTCTACAGATTCACCTCCTAGAGTTCTCTTACTACTTGGTGCAGGAATGGGCCTCCTACTAGTTCTGAGTAGAGCAAGATATTTAGGATAAAAGGGTAAAAGCAAATAAAAGAGAAATATAGGATAGAATTAGAGGAAGAAATGAAAGTATGAAAGTATTACATTTAAAAATTTGGAGGTAGATGGATGCTTGGTTAAATGGATAGATAAGTCTATGCATCACATTTATATCTATGGTTATTGGTTATAAACATATGAGAAGGAAGAAAAAGCACAGGTACCCCGACTCCCACTTGGCTGTATGAGTCTGAGCAAGTCAGGTCTCCTCTCTGAACCTCATCTCCCTGCCCCTCTCCCTGGGCACCAATAATCCGGGTCCAGAACTCAGCCAAGAGTCATTGAATCAATGGAGATAAATATATTTGGTTTCCAGCCACAAGCTTTCTGTGGAGTGGATCTATTTTTCCCCCTTTAAAAGGCCTCTTGAAATACAAGAACATCTTTTAAAACGAGATCTTGCTGCAGATTGATAGGTTCCAATATTAGATGAGAAGGGGAATAAAACTATATCCATTTAAAATCTGACAGAAGAACAGGAAGAATAAAATCCTCTCAGTCTAATGGCAGGACTGAGATGAGTTTTGTTGTAATATCCGTTGCTGTTAAGTTTTTCAGTTCTTTCAAAAGGAGATAAAACACCATGAAGGATAGCGATATGTACAATGGGTAAATTTCAGGAGCACTCACACATGAAATTTGTGTTGCAAGTATTCCTTCCTGAATTGTTTCCACTTTTTAACTACAGGCTTCTAGTGGAGACAAATGAACCTGGTGTTAGGTGAATAGGAGAGAAAGCAAGAAATACTGCTGGTGGCCCAAGATCCCACGTGGGAGGGGGCGAAGGACTGAAATGAGGCAAGCTCAACATCTCACTGCCCCTTGGCTCCATCCAACAGGCAACTCTGGAGAATATCAGTAGAGATTCATTCTCTAAATCATGGATGGGCAAACTGTGAGTGTCAGGGTTCTTCAGAGAGATGGAAACAATCAGATATATGAAAGGGGATCTATTAGGGGAAGTGCATCACAGGATCACGGAGTTGAAGAAATCCCACGATAGGCCACACGCAAGTTGGAGAACCAGAGAAGCCAATAGTGTGGCTCAGTCCAAGCCCTGAAGCCTCAAAATCAAGGAAGCCAATGGTGCAGTCCCCAGTCTGATTCTGAAGGCCCTAGAACTCCCAGGAGGTGGCTAGTACCAGCCTCAGAATTCAAAAGCTGAAGAACCCAGAGTCTGATGTCTAAGGCAGGAGGAGAAAAGTGTTCTGCTCTGGGGCAGTGGGAAAAAGAGAGAAAAAAAGGGAGATTCCTCCTTGTTCTGCCAGGTTGTCCCAACTGCGCTCCCAGGAGATTGGATGCTGCCCCCCCCCCCACATAGAAGGCGAGTCTTCCTCTCTCATTGCACTAACTCACAGGTCAATTTCTTCTGACAACACACTCACAGACACACCCAGAAACAATGCTTCACCGGCCATCTAGGCACCCTTCAATCCAGTCAAGTCGATACATAAAAAATTAATCAGCACAAGCCCACCCTTTGTCAATGTGGCAGCCATATGCATCTCATTAAACCATGCTGAATTTCCAAATAAAGATCAAAACAAGGTCATAATTCCACTTAAGATGATGCAACTATCCTGAGTACAACCAAAACCGCACTAATCCCATTCCCAGAAGAGGAGGGAAAGTTCCTGAGTGACATTTACATTTCTCATGATATCCTATAACTTAAATAGCATGATGTAAAATTAACAATGCTTAAGTGCAGATACAAAGTCAGTAAACCTAAATACTATAATGTAAAATTAACAATGCTTAAATGCTGATACAAAGTTAATCAACATTATGTTACATGATAAAGGAATAAGAGAAGAAAGAAAACCAAGGTATTTGCTTAATATATGTGATATATGCACAAATGTATTTTTAACAAAAGAAGGGGGAATACTCATGACAGTTACAATCCTCATTTTTGAAACTGGTTATGTGGTTGTGGCTGACATTTATAACTACCTTTTTTTTTTTTTTTAAACTACCCATTCTATATTGCCTTTGCCTTAAATAAGCAACTCAGTTGGTCATGGCTTGTTACTTGGTGGGATGACCCAAACCTTCATTCCTAAAGAGTCTGGGCCATTTGTCGTCCCACTTGGATTGAGATGTTGTAGTTTTTCACTGACCCTAATCACAGGGCATGGTAATTTTAAGAGATGCCCTAATGGATCTCCTGTATTCCACGCACACTCTTCCTTACTGCCATTGTGGAGCAGTATTTAATTTCCCCTCGATTGTCCAGATCAATCTTCCTAGCCAGCACCATCACAGTCTTCTTAGCCTGTTGACTCAGAAGCATAGGAGCCCAAAGTGGCCACGTGGCAGTCTTAGCTCCCAGTTCAATGGGATCATTGTAGTGTTTCCTAGTAGAAGCATTTCTCCCTCTGGAACTAAGACCTCTACGCCAGCAGAACATAACATTATGGGAACAGGAAGCACGTATTTTGCTACTTGGTCACTAGGGGTAATGGTGAGTGGTGCACATCTCCCAATCCACTCAAGCCAATGCCTAAAATTAGCCATCACACAAACCTTTTCCGTAAAGTGGCAGATTGCAAATCATGTGGGCCTTTCAGGCCATGCAGTCTCTGTTACTACTAGCCAACTCTGTGGCTATAGCATGAAGGCAGTCGTAAGTAATATGTACCTACATTGATTTGCCTGTGTTATAATGAGACTACTTATCAAAACAGGCAGTGGACACATTTGACCCATGGGCTGTAGTTGGCTAGCCCCTACACTAAGTCATTGCTGCAGCTTTTTCTTTCTGGAGAGGCAGAGGGGAGACAGAGAAAGGTGCATGGAGTCAGACAGATGGGGGCTTGAACCTGGATCTGCCTTCAAAGGTATATCACCTTGAGATAAATGAGGCTCTGTGGAGATTTGTTGGCTTTTTCCCCTAGCATCCTTCCCTGAGGTAGCAAGACAACAGGTTTTTTTTGGGGGGTGGGGGATCTACTTTTATCCCACTCTCATCCTAGGTGGTTCTAGTGACAGGAGCTCCATTCCTGAATCCAGAGACAGATCATGTGACCTGGGCCATGATATCTACTTCACACCATGCCCCTGGCTTCAGAAATTGGCTCAAGATGGACCCATGGCAAAATCA